CTCTAGGGTGTCAAACGACCCGTAGATCGTTAGGATCAGCTTTTCCATTTCTGAAAAAGGGGGGGGGGGAGGCAGGAAATGTCCCTGTGTGGAAATGGAAACAGGTTAAGAGAAGATAGGCGGTGTTAGTAAAACATTTCTCTTTACTGACTCCAATTCAGATTTTAACTCTACAATTGTAATTATAATTTTGAAGTTATGGCTTGTATCTATTCCTTTCCACTTTATTTTCAGCTTGTTCTTGCAGCTTATCTTGTCGTCAGGTCTTTCTTTTGTTGTTCTAATTCATCCTGTTTACTCTTCTAATTCTATTGGAAGGGCCCGCTGTTTTTGTGGTTCCTGTAATAAATTCTTTTTCTCCAGTATCATTAAAAATCACATTCTGTCCCTAGTGTTCCACATTTATTTTCCATAGAAACTATGTTGGTTATTTTCTGTTTATTCATCCTCAAACAGAGAGTAAGCTATGTAATTTTGAGTTTTGGATGAGTGGGTTTCTCTCTGTTCTACTTAATGTTCTTTCAGTGACTATTGCTGGAGGGGGTTTTGATGTATACAACTCCCAACTCAATTTCTGTTGTCTGTTATTTAATCTTTTGCTCTAACTTTGCTTCACTCATCTGTGGTCAGCTGTGTGCCTACCCTTGCCACTTGTCTCTTGTAGAATTTCTCAGGAGGATTGATCAACAGGCTCAGGCTACAGGCCAGGCTGGAGTGTACCTGTGCAAGTGTTTTCATTGTTATGAATATGTAATTATTGTTCACACAAAGTCACAGAGTCACTTGAGCAACACTATAAGCCAACTGACCTAACAGACATACACAGAACACTCCACCCAGCCACAGCAACATATACTTTCTTACGGAAAGATTCAAAACAATCTCTATCAAAATCACAATGTACCCCCCCCCTTTTTCAGAAATGGAAAAGCTGATCCTAAAATTTATATAACATGACAATGGGTCCTGAATAGAAAAAACAATATTGAAAAAGAACAAAGGGAACTCAAACAGTCTGACTTCAAAATTTACTGCAGAGCTACAGTAATCAGAAAAGTTTGGTGTTGGCATAAGAATAGACATCAATAGAACAGAATTGAGATCCTGGAAATAAATCCATACATCTATAGTCAGTTGATTTTTGATAAGGCACCATCACTATTTAATGAAGGAAGGAATAGTCTTTCCAACAAATGTATATCCATATGCAAAAGAATGAAATTGGACCCTTACCTAACACCTTGTACAAAAATTAACTCAAAATGGATCAAAGACCCAAATGTAAGAACTATAGAATTCTTAGAAGAATCAGGGGAAATATTCAGCACACTGGATTTGGCAATGCTTTCTTAGATACGACAGCAAAATAACAAGTAACAAAAGAAAAAATAGGTAAATTGGACTTTATCAACATTAAAAACAATTGTGCACTAAAGAACTGTATTAATAGAATAAGATAGCCCACAGAATTGGAGAAAATATTTGCAAATCATATATATGATAAAAATTAATGTGCATAATATATAAAGAACTCTTAACAACAAAAATCCAAACAACCCAGTTCAAAGATGGATAGGCAACTAGAATAGACGTTCTTCCAAAGAAGATGTACAAATGGCAAATAAGTACATGAAAAAGACACTCAACATCACTTGTCATTAGGGAAATGAAAATCAAAACCACAATGAGAAGTTGCTTGAAATTCATTAGGGTGTCTATTATTTTAAAAATGGAAAATAGCAAGTGTTGACAAAGATGTGAAGAAATCGGAACCCTTGTCCTTCATAAGTGGGAATGGAAAATTGTGTAACCACTTTGAAAAATGTCCTGGCAGATACTCAAAAAAGTTAAACAGAATTACCATTATGATCTAGCAATTGCATTCCTGGGTATATACCCCCACAGAATTGAAAGCAGGGACTGGAACAGAAACTTGTACATAGTATGAGTCTTCACAGTACCCAAATAGTGGAAACAACCCAAATGGCCCTCAGGTTTAAACAGATACAGTGTTTCCATACAATGGAATACTATTGAGCCAGAAAAAGAAATGAAGTACCAGCACATCAACACAAAGTGGATGAACTTTGAAAGAATGAAATGAAATACTACGGCCTTTTGTAGCAACATGGAGGATGGAACTGGAGAGTGTGATGCTAAGTGAAATAAGTCCTACAGACAAAGACAGATACCGTATGTTTTCACTCTTATGTGGATCCTGACAAACTTAACAGAAGACTGTGGGGGAGGGAAAGGGAAGAAAAAAAGTTACAGAGAGGGAAGGAGGCAAACCATAAGAGACTCTTAAAAACTGAGAATAAACTCAGGGTTGATGGTGGGGGGGGGGGTGGGAGGGAGGGGAAAGTGGGTGATGGGCACTGAGGAGGGCACCTGTTGGGATGAGCACTGGGTGTTGTATGGAAACTGATTTGACAATAAATTTCATATTAAAAAAATAAAAAATAAAAGTAAAAAAAAGCATTATGCTAAGTGAAAGAAGTCATACATAAAAGACCATATATTGTATGATTCAATTTATGTGAAATACCAAGAATAGGCAAATCCATAGAGACAGAAAGCAGAAAAGTGGTTGCCAGGGACTGGGAGGAAGGGAGCTGGGGGTGATTAATTAATGAGAATGGGGTTTTCTGTTAGGGTGCTGAAAAAATCCTGAACCTACAATTGACCCTTGAACAATGCAGGGGTTAGGGATTCTGATCCCCTGCACAGTTGGAAATTAGCGTATAACTTTTGACTCTCCCAAAACTTAACTACTAATAGTCTCCGTTGACCAGAAGCCTTATGGATAACATTAACAGTAGATTAACACATGTTTTACATGTTCTATGTATTTCTACTGTATCCTTATAATAAAGTCAACTAGAGAAAAGAAAATGTTACTAAGAAAATCATGAGAGAAAATACATTTACAGTACTTTACTGTATTTGTTGAAAAGAATCCACACGTAAGTGAACCCACACAATTTAAACCTGAGTTGGTCAAGGATCAGCTGTAGGTTCAGGTGGTGGCTTGTACACTTTGTGAATATACTAAATCCCAGTGTTTTATGGTTAAAATGATGAATTTTATGTTATGTGCATTTTACTACAATTTTTATAGTCACAAAGTCACATGTGAGATTTCTTTTTGTATATGAACTTTTGTTTATCCTTGAGTTTCTCGTTATTACTTTGCATTGCATGCCTTTATTATGTTCTCAAGGTTTTCAAATGCTCTCAAATGTTAAGTGTTCTGTTGTGCCCCATATTCTCCAAAAAAACCTTTTCCTTCACAGCTCTGATATTCCTGGTCCCAGCTAGGTTAATTTCTCTGCTACATGGACATTTCCTTAACCTACCTCCCTCTGCACCTTGACTCAACCTCTGTTTCCCCTTGCCTTTTCTTTTTCAGTTCTCTGTTTAACTTTAGCGTACCTCCAAGTAACGCCAGATTGTTGTGTCTGAAAGTGTCTATGATTCAACCTGAAAACTGATTATTTGCCTAAATCCAGATTAAATATACTTAACCCTCACCTGCAATGTGGCTTCTGATGTTTCATATTTTGTACATTACTTGATTTTTCTCTCAAGAGTTGTTAGATTCTTTTTGTTATTCTCATAGCATTCTGAAATTTCATTATGTGCCAGACGCAACTTTTTTCATTTCTTCGTTTGTTAATTTATTAAAGTACACTTTTTAAACATGGAGACTTTTATTTTTCAACTCATAAATTTTCCTGTATTATATCTTTGCTGATTTTCACCCCTCCATTTTTTGTAGTCTTTCCTCCCCAAACCCCTATTTGTTAGACACAGGATATCATGTATTATTTCTCTTAGTTTCTTATTTTTTTCATACCATCTCTTTGTCAATCAGTTTTATTTTTTAGGAGATTTTCTTAATCCTTCTTCCAATTACCCTATTGATTTATTTCCTCTTGGGTCTTGTATTTTTAATTTGTAAGAATTTTTATCTTGTTTCATACCCATCCCTTTATCAAAACATCCTGCTTTCATTTTATAGATGTGATATAATTCTTCAATTTTTTGGAGAATGCCAGAGTTTTTGTGTTTATTTAGTTCTTTCCTACTCCCCACATTATCCCTTCCTTTGGGGATCGTATTTTCTGTCTGCTTATCATAAACTCTCTTTTTCAAACTTTTTTATTGCTCCCAGGTTGACCATTAATATTTAAGAGTAAGATTCTAAATGTAGCTTGGGAGCTTTGTATATTTGGGTAAGGTTTTGTTTTAGGGCCATCAGGCAAGGAGGCAGCTGTCGTCCTGGGAGTCCACCAAAGCCAGAATGTGGAGGTGGCCACTTGCTTTTCTAAAAAAGGAACCTCATCTGTCAGCTTTGGAATGCTTCGGCAATAGCATTCTGTGTGAGAAGCTAGGGACGGTGATTGCTTAATTTACTTATCGTTAAAGAATCCACTTGTTTTCACCTTCAAGTTTCACTCCTGCTTTTGCCGCACTGGCGTCTCCAAGCCCTAAGCTTCTGAGGAGTTCTGCCGGGCAAGCAGCCTCTCTGTTTGAGGCACCTGCCCCTGAGGGAGCACCAGCTCCACTGCGCCTGCCCCTGAGGGAGCACTGAGATCCACTCCCCCTCCCCCTAAGGGAGCACCAGCTCCACTGCGCCCCCCCAAGGGAGCACCAGCTACACCGTGCCTCCCCCCCCAGGGAGCACCAGCTCCACTGCGCCTGCCCCTGAGGGAGCACCAGCTCCACTGCGCCTCCCCATGAGGGAGCACCAGCTCCACTGCGCCTGCCCCTGAGGGAGCACCAGCTCCACTGCGCCTCCCCATGAGGGAGCACCAGCTCCACTGAGCCTGCCCCTGAGGGAGCACCAGCTCCACTGAGCCTCCCTCCACCTCACCTGCTCCCTTTACCACTTTTCCACAGGCTTCCACCTCACAGAATTGTGTCGAAATCACTTATCTGCAGATAGCCCCTCGCTACTCTCTTTGACATCATAGGTTAATATGTTTTTAATCTTTTATCCTTACATTATAGGGTCTCTCAAGAGAGATTTTTTTTTTCTTTTTGCTATGGACTTAACCTCTCAATTTCTTAATTTTTCTCAACTGCAAAATAATCATCTTTAAAGTCACTTATAATTTTAAAATTCTGTTATAAATCTCTCCCCTACTTGTGAGTTGACCTCATATCCCAAAAGCCCGTGCTTCACCAGTTTTCCTTAAGTCTCCTCAGACTTCACGTTGAATGAATAATTTCACTCTTTTCCCCTGCCAAAGGGACTGATTTACTTTTACCTGCTACACGATCTCCCCGGAGTTGCTTTGTGGGAACACTAGCCATTATTTAACAGGTCGTTCTCTCTCACCTGAATCAGCCTGCGTGGAGTTACTCACGTGAAAAGTAGCTAGAAAGGAACTCAGCGTCCACACTCAGGAGTGTTTGCCCTTGCGGTTTGCAGTTTAAGGCTTAGGTTCAAAATGTGTCCGATTTTCTCTGTCAGTGGCATCTTAATATTTGTAGCACGTCTCTCTTAATTTTCAGTTCAAGGCGACTTTTGTTACGCTGGGTCTCTGCTGGTCTGGACAAAGACTGCCTGTCGTTTTGAAGTTTCCTTTGGCGTTTTTCCAAAGCGAATTTTTACCATGCCATGGAGGCTAGGTTTAAGTCAGATCATTTCACATTTGCTGAAAACCTGTTCAGTTAGTTTGTGTGATACACATAGACAGAACTTTTATTTCTGTTTTTGCTTTATTTCTTGGTTAAGCTGGTCAATACAATTTAAAACCGAGTTAAGGTAATACAGTGTATATTTCGCAAACCAGTTTCTGTGTGATTCAGTAATATTGAGAAGAAAAGTAGCTAAGACTTAGATATTTCTTATTATATGCCTGGCACTGTTCTAGGGACTTGGCATTAATTACTTCCTTTAATCCTCACGTGGCCACATGGGAGAGCTACTGTCACATCGGGCACATGAGGAAAACGAAGCCAGGGTACAAATCCAGGCTGTCCGGCTCCAGAAGGGGATTTTTGTGGAAAGTTGTTTTCTTTTAGAAATTGTCCAGAAAATAACCAGGTCCTAAGGGAAAGACGTGAACCCTGGGGTTATTAAGATGGAGAAAAAGGATTGGTTGTCTCAGAGATCAGAAAATGATACACTGGCTTGTTAGGATTCGTAAAAGTTTTATTTTAAAAAAAAAACACATAAAACCTCCATATCCTACCTTAAACACCACTTTCTGATGTATTGTTGAAAAGAATTTGGTGCTTTTCATTCACTGATCTACTCATTCATTCAACAGATACTTCTCAAGCGCCGACCGCGTGGCAGACCGGAGTCCAGGTAAGCGGGATACACCGGTTAGGAGAACGTGGGGCCTCCGTTGAGCGGGCAGCGGGCGGGGGGGAGCAGCACCGCTGATGGGCAAAATAAGCAGATGGCACGGTAGAGGTGGGAAGAGGAGGGAAGAGCAGATTGGGGTAGGGAGATCTGGAACGTGCAAGGAAGGGATGCAGACCGTCTCCGTGTGCTGGTGGAGATGAGCCTTTTAGTGAAGGTTAGAGCTGAGCCGAGACTGGAAGGGGGTCAGGGAGTCCAGCGTGTTCCATCTAGGGGCTGGGAATTGTCAAGGCAAGAGCACCCCAAAACAGAAGAACTGCGAGGAGGTCCACGTGACGGGGCCAGGGGGCGAGGGGGCGCTCGGGCTACAGATGCGCTTGAAAGGGAGCGGGAAGCCAGAACATCACAGGCTGGGTAGCTGGGTTTGGGGCCTCGGCTTCTACCGAGGGAGTGGAAAGCATTCTGGGCTTTCACATGGCCTGACTTATATTTACACGGACTCCTCTGGCTGCTGTGTTGAGAATAGACCATAGAGGGTCAAGGGTACGAGTAGAGAGACTGCTGGGAGACCGAAGCAGTCATCACTTCCGTGAACGTTTACCTGCAAGTAATTTATCTAATTTACGGTTGAGAATAATTTTTAATGTTTATTTATTTTTGAGAGAGAGAGGGAGGGCATGCGTACGCGCGTGCACAAACACGAGTTGGGGAGGGGCAGAGAGAGAGGGAGACACGGAATCTGAAGCAGGCTCCAGGCTCTGAGCTGTCAGCACAGAGCCCTAGGCAGGGCTCAGACTCACAAGCAGTGAGATCATGACCTGAGCCAAAGTCAGAAGCTTAACCGACTGAGCCACCCAGGTACCCCAAGTTGGGCATAATTTTTAAGGAATCATTGAGAACACCCAAGAATTCTTATGAACTAAGAACTTTTAGCCTACAAACTTTTTCAAGTAAATAAAAACATTGGTGAATTCTAGATTTCATAATCGTATGGACATAATGTATTTTATAAATATCACGGACTGAAGCATGTATCCTCAAGATTCATATGTTGAAGCTCCAAACCCCAGGACCTCAGTATGTGACTGTCTTTGGAGGCAGGGCCTTTAAAGAGGTAATTAAGGTAAAATGAGGTCATATGGTTGGGTCATAACTCAATGTGACTGGTGTCCTTAGGAAAAGGAAAGATCAGGACACAAAGACACACAGAGAAAATGGTGGTGGGGACACAAAGAGAAGACGACCATCTGTACGCTAAGGAGAGAGGCCTCAGGAGAAACCCACCCTGCTGACCCCTCAGTCTCAGACTTCCCACCTCCAGAACTGGAAGGAGATGCACTTCTGTTGTTCAAGTCCCCCGCCTGCCCCCCACCCCCGTCTGGTACTTTGTATTGTATTAGCAACTAGCATTAATAGATGTATAGTTGAGCCTGAATTAATTTCGGTTATGTGGCTTTAGTTTTGTATTTTTTGGGCAGTTAATTTTTCTTTTAACTTTACAGTATTTTGTAAGCACTGAAATATCTGTGGCTTGGGCATTGAGCCTGAGGCCAAAAGAGCCCTGGTGTTGTAAGAAAGATAGGAAGGCTTTCACAGAAGACATGGAAGTTTAGACTTCCTCCCCATAGGAGGATGCGATTTCCTGGTTTTCCATGTGTATCTATAGTGATGATACCTTTGTGTTTTATTTTCAAGTTCTTCTTTTTCTTCCAGTCTGCGCGTTGCCTTTCAGAGGGAGTGCTGGAGGGAAACCATTACTTTTTAGCTTGGTCTTTCAGAATAAGACTTTCCTGGCATATTTATCTTACCATAGGCTAGGAAAGTCGTTGTAATGTAATGTAATTTATTACCCCAATCTGTTGTGTACGCTGTGTTAATTTAAATTTGTTAGTGAGCAAGATATTGTTACAGTTGTTAGGAGATTTAAACTTGGTACAGTTAAGAGCTTGGCAGGTGGGGTGCAGCAAGTTTCTGCCTGTTAATTACTCACAGGTAAACAGATCAAGTCACCTAGTAATGTGCTAAACACTGTCATTTGATTAGGGCTGCAGAGCAGTGAACAAGAATATGGTCAGCTAGGATCTGCACCCAAAATTGGCCTTGCAAAGACCTAAAGGTCCAGAAAACTGGCCCCAAACTCTTGCTGATATCAGTTATTCCCATAAGGAAGGATAAAATGTTTTCATTTACAGTCAGAGATAAGTCTTAGACTAGAACTAGCTTGGGGAGGTAGCACTCACCGGTGAGAGTCTCAGCTCCCTGAGGGCAGGACTGAAGTACCACTGTGTTGTAGCCTCCAGAACGTTACCCGGAGCCTGGTACCCAGTAAGCCTTAAATACATGTTTGCTCAATAAATAGTTCTGATTTTCCCCCCTTAGGAGCAGGTTTTGTTAGGAGGTCAGGGAAAGAGCCTGAAACGGAAGATCACCACTTCCCTCATAAAACAAAATCCAGAACCGAGAATCAGAATCCCAAATCCAGAATCAAGGCTTCTGGTCCCAGAAGGAGAACCTCAGTGCAGAGAGGGATAGCTGGGCCTCCTTCGCAAAGGATTTAACTTCTGCTGGAGTTCTCATCTCATTGAGCTCTGCTGCCGTGCCTGGCCCCAGAGCCGTGTTGTGCATACTTAAAAGTCCTTGTCCGAGCTTGGACACCATTGCCTTCTCTGTGTCCCTTCTAATACAGCCACAGCAGGCTGGGGCCCTTCAAACACTGTCAAAAAGTGAAGCCGATGGAAAAGAAAGCAAAGTACATGTGAGCATTAGAACAGCCCTCGTTTCAAAGGCTGAGCTTAATTACTTTCCAGCTCCAAAGACCTGGCACAACCTGGGTCGCCCTGTCCGGGTTCTTGAGGTCCAGCTCTTGGCTTGTTTTCAGAGAGTGTGCTCATCCCCAAGACCCCTGGCCCAGAGAACGAGGGCCCCTTTCTCTGTCCGACCTGAGGCTGTCCCTCCAAATTCCAGCTTCGGAGTTGGAAGATGGGCTCCCTCCCCTGATGACTGACCCCCTCAGTGACTCCTCCAGAGGAGCGCTCCCCCTGCACCTGCAGAGAGGGGCCCGGGGCCCACACAAGATCCCGTGCACACACTATGACCGTGTCACCTCCATTGCGGGTGTCGTATGCAGATCCCCGACACGTTTGGAGGCAGAGAGGAAGGAAACGTCATGAAGGCAGCTCCAGTAGAGACAGCTGGGGCCGCCCAAGAAACTAACCCTGCGCTCTGTGGTGCCACCCCAGGTACGCTCTGCGTTTATGATATTTGAGCTGGTAATCTGAGGAGCAAAACCAAGAGATTGTGTCTTTAAAGTGGTCACAGGAATGTCAGAAACAAGTAGCAACTACATTTTAATGGTTTATCATGGGGAGGTAGCTGCTTGGCTGCCAGGGCCCCAACCTTCGTGTGTTGCAAGTCCGGTCGCCTCTTCAGTGAAGAAGGCCTCTAAGGAGAGCAGGTGGGTCCAGTTTTGTGTTTCCTTGTTGGGATTTTGCGTGTAAAACTCTCAGAAACAAGGCTGGCCTCTCACACCTGTCATGCCTCCCTCAGCCTGTTTGTTTTCCTAGACCTTTATGGAACTGTCATTGGTTAACAGATGCCAAGTGGTTTCATGTTCTAATCCCCCTTCACCCACCTCACTTCAGCACCACACCCACCTTCGTAATGAGCCTGAACTTGCCACTGTCCAAACATGAGCTACTGAACTGAAAACTCAACTTTATGATTTCATACACGGGTTTTTTTTTTTTTTTTCCTCTCCTAAGAAAATTTATCTGATCTTGGCCAGGTTTTAGTTTGTCATTATGCTGCATGCAATGTTCTTAAATTAATCTTCCCTTTCGTTCCGTACTTTGGCTTACATCAGTCATATCTTGTTCAAAACTCCCTTACTTGCCCATATTCTGATTACTAATATTTCCTATAGACAATCTCCTGAAACAGGTCACAGAATTTTCACATAGCCAGGTCAGGGATTGAAGAAAAAGTGTCTTCTATAAGAGATAAAAAGTGTGAGGTGTTTTTTTTTTCTTTCTTTCTTTTCTTTTCTTTTCTTTTTTTCTCTTATAAAGGATGACTTTGGATATACTCGAGGCTTCTCGAGTCTGAGTATGTCTCAGAACAGATCTTGGTTCCCTCACGTCCGTCTTTTACTACTTCCTGCCTTGATTCTATTCCACGTGGGGGAAAAAAGTCAACACGAGTGTCAAGCAAAAACTCCACTTTGACGCAAGATGTTAGAGGTGAACTCTTTGTTCTTTGCCAAGACATAGGAAAGAAAGGATATCAAGTATTTAGATTTTCCTCCTCCTCCTTCGTAGAAATAGCAGTCTTCTCTGGAAATGGCTCAGTACCACAGATGCTTCTTAATCACAGTGTCTTTTAACCTTTTTGAGTCTTAGTCTAAATAGAGGAAACGTCTCTGCTTTCAGTTCAGTTTCCAAATGGGGAAACCGTGGACATAGTCCCCCTGTGAGATTTTTTTTCTCTTTTAAACTTTTCTTTCCCTTCTAAATTATGACTGTTCTCAGTGAGTCTTGACAATAATTTCTAAATTAGCCCTGCCTGAACTTGTGTTTGGTAATCTTAGGTATTTAATTGTAAGTGTCATGGATTCCTAGCATTTCCAGTGCAGGTGTTGGATTAAGAAAGACAGTTTGACATCCTCATTGTGCAGGTCATTTTAGTATTTTCCATGCCAGGAGCAAGGTAATTAACATTGCTCAGGGCCGGAGCAGTGACTTTCTAAATGTTACACTTCACATATATGGACTGTGATGCATGTCTTACTTCCTGTGTGTCTAATGCGCTGCTACAAAGGATTCTGTGGTTAGAAGGCCATACCATGCTAGGCAGTGAAGCAATTCTGTCAAGAAGCATGGTAGCCAAAGCTGATATACAGTCATGTCTTCTGAAATGTTTATTTTACCCAGTTCTTGAAAAGCGAACAGGAACTGTGATTTTAAATGGGATTAAGAGAGATTATGTCATGGAGGAAATCAGATGCA